AACCAAAAAAAAAAAAAAAAAAAAAAAAAAAAACAAATTTTTATTCTACAAGTGCTGCCCGTACACCATTCACGGACCGGTAGAGATCCCAAAAACGACACTAAGAAAACTGTGAGCACCATAAAATAGGGCAGGGTCAGTCTAGATGTGCCTGCTAAACTTCCCATTTAAAAAACCAAAGACAGATGTGTAAAAATAAAGAACTAAAGAACAGAAAAACCTAGAAAAGCATCGGATGGAACCGCTAATGGTCGAAAAAAGCCAGCATCGACAAGATCGTGGAATTCGCCGACGATCAGCTATGAAGTGTTCATGCAGCAAAATCTCAAACCTGTTCCACAGCGACTGCTTGATGGTACTGAACAGGCATGGGTTGGCCAGGAAGCCTGGGCTGCGTCTGCTGGACATGGACGTAGTGTGGCCGCATCACTTGTCCTTGCTGGTGAGCATAAACAACAGGCTGCTGCTGCTGCTGCTGTGGCTGCTGTTGCTGTTGCGGTGGCAGTGGCGCCATTTGCCCTCGAACAGCAAAGCCCTCAAACAAAACAACTTCATACTCATGAAAGTTGCGAATGCGAATGTGTTAAACCATAGAATTTGAACAGGCAACGCCACCTGTGATGGAGAGAGCGGTGGAGCAAAGGGCCGCCTGGTGTAGGCCTTCGTTACCATATAAACAATCAGACTTTCCGTAAGGAAATCACTGTGGGCATCCGAGAAAGTAAAACAAGATAGTCAACGCATGTTGTTCGCTCTGTGGGTATCCTCTAATATCATACATCAGTGGGCAGTATCCATAAGAAAATAGACGACCAATGGACAGAAGGGTCTGCAACAGCTGCCCACGATGTGTTGTGCATCTCAGTGATATCACAAATAAGGTATCCCCGTATCAACTGTCCTGGCAGTTTTGGTATTCTGGGTGTATTAAGTATTTCTCCCTAAAGCACGCAAAGTTCTAGTCCGCCTTAAACCAGGTTGATGGTGTTCCACAGAACCATAAGCAGTCTAAAAGACCTAGAAAAAAAAAATATGCGTCTTAAAGATCCTGAAGGCCAACAAACAATTTCAAGAAATCCTGCAAAAAAATATGCAAAAGAAAGCCGTTTCAACAAGGCACGTGCATGGAATCAGCCAACTGAAAGGACAGGATGTAGAACAATTGTCAAATGGCTGGCAATAAAATCCAAATGTTTTGAACAACTCGCCGGCTTTCTCAAAGGTTATGAAATTATAAAATTTGATCAGTTCGTGAAGAATCTGATCGATAATGACAATTATGATGGTATTAAAGCAAGCAAAAACTCGGGTAAATGCAAAATTTGAATACAGAACTAATCAACGCATAAAAAAGAGCCGATCGGACAATCCGTGGAATGTAGAGGCTTGCCATTTCAAGCACAGTTTGCTCCAATTTTTCCAGAAATGTGAAGGCGAAGGGAAAAATGTGATCGAAAATCATTTCTCAAGCATTTTCAAAGCAATAAACTTAGCAC